TGATAGATGAGCTTTCGGGATAAGCTTTTAAGCTGACTGAGGTGCTAGTTAGATTTAGAGAATTAAGGAGGGTCGGTGAAAATGAGGAGGCTATATTTGTGTCTAGAAACCAAACTCAACTGAACACTAAGTCGATGAGAAATGAGTGGACATGTGATTACCATTTGTTTGATGAACAAAACATCTAAGATCTTTCTGATGGAATGACCGCATGCAGGATATCATTCATCCTCATCATCGTGCACTCTAGTTCACTCATATAGTAAATAGACTATACTATGTGTGTCAGTTGAGTAGGTGGGAAATATTGATTTGTATTGTTAGTAGATAAATTATTGTTCCAAAAGTATTGGACGTTGGTAGTGCAAGTAACGAATATGTGCATGAATGTTGTTGCTACTCAAAAGTTTTATAAGTAGTAAAAATCTACCTGGAAATATATCAATGTGACAACTAGTCGGATAAATTCCGTTCTTGATAACCTCCAGTTCTTGTTTATATTGTCGTCGTGTGTATCGGTATCACTTACCCGAATGGAACTACACTGATTTAAAAATTTTCGGGAGACTTTATGCCCCTAATGTCTCCTCATAATTTCCACTTCAACTGTTAGCTAGATTGATCCCTGTCAAAGTAAGTTACTGCTGATGGTATCTGGCTAATGGATTTGGTGTAATTCATGTTGACGGGTGTTTGTGGATACTATTACTCTTTTGGTGATGGTGGTGACAATTGTCCAAGTTTCAGCTACATACAACAGAATTGTTCTAACATTAATGTTGGAGATTCTTACTTTGGTAATGGGTGACGGTTGTTTTTAGTTCCAGACATTTGTCAGTTGTAGGAATGTTACTTTTGCAGTGCCTATTCGTAAGTTTATATCTGCACCAGATCATCCTTTTTTATCAGTAATGCTGTCCAGGCACGTAAAGCCTTCCATCTCTTCGAGAAAATGACCGTCAGGTGTGATTTGGTTGGTGCAGGCTGTATTGTATTTTAGGATCTTTTCATTTTCCTTGTGTATGTTGTGGCTTACTGATGTAGAAGCAGCTTCTTTATTGGCATTCTCCAATCTAATTTGTTGCTGTGTTTGAGGTAGAGAGGATAGATGATGAGTAAGCGAGGATGATAATGATTGGTTGTTTGCTTATTTAGACTTGTAGATAGTCTGACAGGCATTAGATGAGTTAATATTCCCCTATCCTTGCTATTATTCGTATTATTATTGATTGTTGTCGGCTTTGGTTGTGGAAATACATTTACACTCTAGTGAGACTAATAACGTGTTCTTGATCTGAGTTGTGTCGAAGTCCTGTAGAATAGACACTGGGAGGGAATCTAGTATCAATTAACGTCCCTTTCGTGTAGACGTGGAAAACTAAGCGTTATGACACTAGGTCATTTTAGAAGTCGAAAATGTCTGACTGCATCCAAGCTGTTTGTTTCAACTACTTCTTAGGGATTCCTGAATTTCGTGATGACCTTGTTGATTTCTTTGTTCGTTGATGGGGTACCATCTGCGTGGCAATCTTTGGGTTTAGCCTCGATGTTGGATGTGCTCAGAGGTGCCGATCTATTCGAAAGATGGAACGAATTGAGCGAAGAAATTTCTTTTCAGTTGGTTTTTTCTTCGCTCAATCCGTTCCTTCTTTATTTACCAAATGGCAAAATGGGAATTTTCATTATATTCGAAAGATCTTCAAGGTGCTCCACCCATCTATCCCGCTACTATTAACCCTCAGTGATTGATTTTCCTTCTTTGTTGTTGGCTGGTTGCTTTGATCTACTATGTTTCCTTACAAGCTGCTTGTTTGTAATATCATACAGTTTTCTTATATATCCTGTTTTGTAGCCTTTTCTATTAGGTCATACACGTATTTCCGCTTATCAGCCCTGATGTCTCTCTTTACCGGTTTATTTGCTTCTGTGCCCTGGTTTATTCTGCCCTTGTTCGGATGCTGTTAATTGCTGTCTTCCTGTCTTTCCTTTCTTGAACCTTGACCAAGATATCGATAGAGATCTTCTCATGATGGTGCTTTTTGGGAACCAGCATCTCTTTGAATTTTGAAGTTAATGCTTTTTGAATCCTTTTCCAGTAGTTGTCTATGGTGGTTTCCTCTTGTTTGAGTTGATCTTGTAAAGCTTGAAATGTGTTGTTGATCACTACCATACTGAACTCTCTAAGCTTGTAAAATCTCAAAGGAAGGCTGTATTAAACTTTTGTATTGCTGTTTCTCCAGCTGTCCTGGGATTCTTTAGCTTTTGCTTTAAATTGACTATCAACAATTAGTAATCTCAAACTATGTCAGCTCTCTTGTTCGTTATTACGTCTTTTATGAACCGTCAGAATTTTTCGTTAAAAAGAACGTAATCGATCAGATTCTCTGTAATGTGATCCGGTGAAACCAATATAGTTTTCTGTATGCGTTTGTGGTGAAATATACTACCACCTATAATCATTTCGTTTAAAGCACATAAATTTGCAAATCTGTCGCCATAACCGGTGTTTTTTCCATTCCAACCCTGGCCTTCAGGCCTCCCATCGGGATAGTCAGGTTCTTTTCTGGACACTTCTCTACGATCGTCTGCAGCCTTGTATTTTTTCTTCATAACCAGAGTGCAACAATACCCCTATCGTAGCTAACCATTTTTGTCTAGTTTGCATCCTATGAGTTTCACTTATTCCGAGCACCATCAGGTTGTAGCTTATCATATCCTCAGCTGGTCTTCCTGGTCTGCCACATGGTGCGGACTTTCCATTTATTGGTGTTAATTGTTCCTTTGGTTGTTTGAAGGGGAGTCAGCCTTGTGACCTTTGAAACATCTCAGTATTCACAGTGGGACGTCGATATTCTTATAGCTGATTATCCCTTAACCCTCAGAAGAGAATGTTAATGACTTAAATGACGTCTTTGGCTGGCGTTATTTTGGCAGGGATTTTTCTATGTGATGGAGTTGCTGGTCCTATCTCTGTCTCCTTCCTTTTAATCGCTCTTGGGACCGTCAGTAACGCTGGACGAGCTCCAGGAGGAGTCTGTGATAACATTGATAATTGTTGCATCATTTCAAAGGTAATAAGAAGTTTTTCGAAAAACACCTAAAAGACCAAGGGGAAAATACATTAAAGATGGAAGATAATTATCAACTAGAAAGGAATTAAAGAAATGAATACCGAGCGGTATTGCGTTGATAATAGTTTAAAAATTCCAAATATAGATTGACTACGTAATGAGCAAACAATTAAGGGAAAATGTTTTCAGATGAAGATATTACATAAAAAAGAGAAAATTTCTCTCCTGGTAAATATAAAGAACTGGATAGGTATTCTGATAATAGCTAATTAATGGTTATGAAGAAATTATGATAGAATAATGGCAATAGTTTAGCGAGTATGGATGATATGAAGGGAGTTGAGATCATGATAAAATGATATTATTATTATTACCTTTATTCAATGTTATATTTTCGGTGAAATATAGAATTTTCACAGATTGAAATCATGAGACAGTTGAAGCTAGACCACCATTGAAAACCTGGAAGCACTGGACGGCCGTTTCGTCCTAGTATGGGACTCCTCAGCAGTGCGCATCCACGATCCCGCACCACGCGGGGCTCGAACCCAGTGCGTGGTGTGGGATCGTGGATACGCACTGCTGAGGAGTCCCATACTAGGACGAAACGGCCGTCCAGTGCTTCCAGGTTTTCAATGGTGGTCTAGCTTCAACTGTCTCATGATTTCAATCTGTGAAATTTCTAAAATCTCCACAAAACCCATTCTGAAAATATAGAATTCTCAGCACAAAGTATCTCAACAGGTTTCCTTTTCTTATTTCTTTATCGATTCTTGCGATAAATATTGAGTGGTCGCCAGTTAATTGTTAGCAGTTCAGGAATCAACATCTGAATAATGTATATTCTTTTCGATGAATATAGCCAGCAACCACTATGTCTCATTGGGCTCTTTTGTAACTTGTATAGCGAAATGTTGTAAACTTCTCAAAAACACACCTGAATAGGTTATGAGACTAATAGGCATAATTCTGTGTTAAAACAAACAAGCAAAAAGTTAACTTGTTGAATTATCCAGATTGCGGGGTATGGCAGCCGAGATATTCAAAGAGGCCGCCTCTATTGGTTTAATACACATAGATTAGGCTGGAGTCGGTGGACCGCTAAGGCCTCTGTGGTACATATGTTTCTGATTTGTATTCCATTTGAACCACATTTTTTACTTTATGGATGAATTTGAATGAGTAATCTGGTGGAGCAATGTGATCAGTGTTCACTATATCAGTGGCTTTCTAGAAGGGGTGTTCATGAACAAAGATAACATGTAGGGAACGATTAACTAGAGTTGATCATGTGAACTTATCATGTCATATAAAATGCTAGTTAACCTGAACAGAGAAGTTCGACACAATTTAGACTCTTATACAGTATATTTAGAGAAGACGGTAACCACACTGAAGCGAGACG